CCATGACAAAAAAGCCTATATATATTGCAGGGGTCCTATGCTCACGATCATCACGGATCTCAGTAACCAAAAAACTCATGATGTCTAAGTATGGAACTATAAAACAACGAAAAAACATCCAAATGAACCCCATTACAGTGACTTTTCCAATCAAAGATTTTCATAAGTCCTCATTGACTTTTGAGACATTTTTGACATTTCTTTAAGAAAGTGTGTGTGACACCTATTGGTATTTGTGCTGATCCGTCCATGCTTTCCAAATTACAATGTACTTCTATAGTTTCTTTCAATGTACAATGTAACAATAAATACATCCTTTATTTTTTTATTTTCACAGAGCGGTCCATCTCTGATTTCATCTTTGAGTGTCTCCTTCAACTATGCTTCAACGTATCTCTAGATATAGAAAGGTTTTCTATTCTCTTCCTATCTTGCAAACTTGAAATACAGTTGTTTCAATTTCGGAAGAAAACTATCCTCTTTTTTGTTTGTTCTTCCTGATTCTCTCTCCATTCCTTTTGGTTCTTTAAACGGTGTCTTTCGGATGTCACTTCTAAATTGACCAGGTCCTTCGTTTTCTTCTCTTCTTTTTCGGCTACTTCCCTATACATGTATATGTTTTAATCTCATTTTTTTTTATGAATGGTTGACTTTTCATTCTTTTTATCCCTTCCACTCCGGTCTTGTCAGTGGCTTTGAATGACATAATTCTTGTCACGCTCTCAAATATCTTCCCCACTGGTCCCATTTGCGTCATTTCTAGAAGCCCTCCATTGTTTGCACGGTTCTCTTTGGTGGCTCCTGATCCTTCTGTCTCCCTGAAACGATTGGTTTAAAGGTTCACCGTAAAGTCCTTATGATGTCAAAGATCATAAAAACTCTTTGCAGGTTTTTAATTGCTCTCATACAGTGTTAATAAAATATATCTTTTAGGTCTCTCTCTCTCTCTCTATCTCTCCTGTATACTAGTATTATCAACAATATTTTGTATTCGACGCCCATCTTCATGAGCCAGGGATGATTAAGGAAATAAAATGAAACTGACAGTTATTTATCATCTTGTAGCCTTATTTAGTGCATTCGTAGTCAAATAATCATTAAATCGTTAAACACTTTCCCACTTCAACGGATACCCACGGTTGATTTCATTTCTTGAAAGAAACAAAATCAACCGTGAAAACAAAGGCGATGTTACATGAAATTAAAATAAGTGGAGACGACATTTGAAGCATAGCATGTTGCTTTATATACATTGTATATGTAAAGGTCACGTCGTTTATTGATTTTAGTGTCAATGCTGCAACATATGGCATACTTCAAAAACGATTTCTATTGTATGGGGACAGTTATAAAATGTATTTACCTATAAACTAAATCGTTAAGAGTGATTTCACTTAAACAAGATCCTGTAGGCCGTCTCTGGCATTAAATCTGGGATGATCCTGCAGTATGTGGTTTCGATACCAACAGGTTAGATTATTATTTTGCATTTACTGTTTTGTACATACGGTATTTATTGGGATGATGGTATATGGTATGAATGTTTATATCTATATATAATCTCAAAACATCAATTTCATAAGCTTTAGGGTTGTAATTTAACACATTATATTTTATTTGTCTGGATGTAACTACCTTAGCTGATTATTGTTAGAATTTGATTTGCAAGCACTACTGATTAAGCTTTATTTGCATGCACTACGAAGCAATGTTGCTGGGATATGGTTGATCTCTGTTGAATAACAGGCACATGACAAATGGATGCCTCCCCCTCCCACCTTCTGATAGTTTTTATTATTTAAACATATTTTAAAGGACAAGAAAGGGTAAGACCCATTTTTGGCTCCTGATTTTGGATGTCTTTCAGAACGATGCAACAGTTTATCCATAGAAACCTGTTGTCATCCCTGCCACAACATGAGTATTGGTTCTAAGTTTTGAAATACGCAGAGGTCACAGAGAGGTCAGAAAAAGGTCAATTTACGAATTTTTATGCAAATTTTCATTGCTTTTACAGAACATTTTGTTTCGGAAAACATAGAACACAAGCTTGCCTATCTACCAAATCTATATATTTTTTATCAACTAGTATCAGATGCAGTTTATGTGTAAAAATCTCAGATAGGCAAGCTTGTGCTTTATATATTCCGAAAAGAAGAGTATCTCAACTATGATTAAATTCTACCAGAATTGAGGAAATTTGGTACAATGACCTATTTCTGCACCCTCTAGTGGCTTCCATGTAATCTTTGAATCCAGATTGGTGCTGGTTTGAAAGCAAGCATTATTTTAAGTTCTTAACTACAAACTATCACCATTTTACCAGTGTTCTGATTTTTACATCAAATAAGAGGCCAGATTTGGGAGTTACCCTACCTTGTTCTTTTAACCGAAACACTGTATCTCCCTAGTCCATCATTCCTGCTACATTCCGATTTCTGATATCCTAGTTACTCTCTGTTTTTGTTAAGCTGCAGAGATTGTCCCTCAATTGGTATGTAAAAATCCTTTTGTAAACCTATTGAGGGGCAAATGTTGTGTGATGAATGCCTCTTTAACAATATCGGATCTCTTCATGTTTCTTTCCTTTCTTGTCGCCCGCGTGGCGCAGTGGTTAGAGCGTCTGCTCTAGAGTCGCGAAGTAAGGAGTTGATCCTTACGTCGCTGGTTCGAATCCTGCTGTTGGACGTGGAGACCGGTCCTTCGGATGAGACCGTATAAACCAAGGTTTCGTGTCGCAGTGGGTGCTGGCACGAAAAAGATCCCTCCCCGCTCAACGGCCCTGAGTGCCGAGGAAAGGACAAAATTTGCAGCTCTCTACCGGCAAGTGGTGGCGTCCCCATATGAGTGAAAAATTTTCGAAAGGGACGTTAAAAAATACACAATAAATCAATCAATTTTTCCTTTCTTCTTCTTCCATACGAGTTAAACAGTAGGTAAGGCGTTATACTCATACCTCAGACAAAACTAGAAAGTTAAAAACTCAATCGGGTACTATGTACAATAAAAGGCTAAACACTGGCATGTTTAAGCTGGTGCTTGTAGCCAGCTGACACCTCGTGTATGAGTCCAGCTGTGATTTGAAGGACTCCAACGTTGGTGCTGAGGCAACTTCAGATGGAAGGTGGTTCTAATCTAGCATTATTTTCTGAAAGAAGGAGAAGCAATGTTAATCTATCCGAGTGTGTCGTAGACGGAACGTGTGGTTGCCTCTGGTCCTGCTGTCACTAGATGTTAGGTACAGATATCCTGGAATAGCCCCTAATACATGTACATATTTGATCCTAAAAAGCAAAACAAGTCTGATTTTCATTCTTTTTAACTAATGTTTCCCAGTGGAGATCTTGGATCATATGGGTAACGCTGCCAGGGTGGTGATCATGGTAGTTTTTGGTGGCGAATCGTGCTGCTCTTCTTTGCACTTTCACAAGCTGTTGGATTTGCTTGGAGCTCCAGGGATCCCATGCTGCACAAGCATATTCAAGGGTTGGTCGAACAAGACCCTGGTATGCTGCAGCAGATCTTGCAGATGTCCGGCATCCCCTCATATTCTGCCTGATGAGCCTAGTGTCTTGTTGGCTTTTGATGTTATTGATGTGATTGTCCCATCGTAGATCTTTACTGATGGTGATTCCAAGGTATTTATTTGCTGGAATCAACCACATCTAGGAGGTGCCCGTGTATAGTGTAGTTAGCAGTGATGGGATTCTGCTTGTTGGTAATTAGTATAACTACACATTTATCTGGGTGGAAAGCCATCTACCAGTCCTCCTTCCATCTGGTCAGAGAATCAAGATCCTTCATGTCAGGTATCTGCAAAAGCCTTGTTTGTAATTGATCTGCACGGGAAACACTCGTTTGCAAAAAGGAGATCATCTAATTTAAGCGTCCTTTCAGGTAGGCCGTTGATGAAGATGAGGAACAGTAAAGGTCCTAATACCGCCCCTTAATTGTGGCACTCCTAACACAACCGGTACAGTTGTTTAAATATGGCCCTCCAGAAGCTTTTCATAGGCGTCGGAACCGGGGGGCTAGAGGGGCTTAGCCCCCCTCACTTTTTTTTTTGCAAAGATAGACATTATATAGGCATTGAAAATTGTGGTTTACCTTTTTTGTTGGTTTAGCCCCCCCCCCCCCCTTTCAATTTGCCACCCCACTTTTAATTTGCTTCCGACCCCTATGCTCTTACTGTGTCCTATCTATATATTAGGAAGTCTGTAATCCATTGGAGGGTGGTACCTCGAACTCCACAGCAGTTTAGCTTATGAGCTAGCTGTTGGTGGGGGACTTTGTCAAAGGCTTTTGAAAAGTCAAGCAGAATAACGTCTTCGTGACCTTTCTTGAGATTCTGAGCCTTTTTTGGTAAAAGGAAGGGAAATTCAATAAACACAAAGTGGTATAAAAATTGATATTAAACAGGTTGTGACCACTCGCCCAAATGGAATATGATAGTCCTTTTGGGATATAATATCCCAAAATGCTTGAAATGGGATATAAATTTACAGTGCAAAAAATGAAGAAAAAAATTATTTTGGCTATAAATATCATAAATACGCATCAAGACACTTATAAAGGAATAATTATTGGTTGACAATATCTTCTGTATGGCCATTGTTTGGGAGATTGATCCCTCGGAAGTTCCATAACTTCTTGGGGATCAATCATATAAACTGTAGGGTTGCAGGAATAAAAATTTTCATTTTTACACTGTAAAATACCTCATTTGGGATATTTCATGTGTATCCCAAACGGACTATTATACATCAATTGGGTGAGTGGTCCCAACCTGTTAAAAGGTACAGTTTAAGTAAATAATATATAATTTCTTCCCTCAACCGCGGTTGAATTTTATTTGAGTTTCCTTCTGAAGAAAAATGAATTAGTAGTGGAACGAGTTGATGATAACGATGTTTCTAGTCACGTGGATGTCATGTGACTGCCCTGTCAACAATCAAAATGGACGCCCATAACAGAAAGTGGGACTAAAATCTGTAATCGGGGATTGTCCCCTTAATACAATTGTATTGTGTGAGTTTCTAAGCTTGCATTAAAAATGGAAAGACGTCCACTGCTTGGTGCCTCTGATGGCGACAAGTATTCTTCTGACAACGAGGATAATGTCGAGAAGAATTTAACATTGTCTGAAAAAGAAATTGATGCCATTGTTACTGCAACATCAAAACAGGTTAAGCTTTTACTTTAACACAGTAATACTCGTAATCTTTGAAAACTTTAGTTTTTGTGGTGGTCTTTTATACAGAACTAATAATAGTAACCCATCATAATAACTTATTATACCCATGTCAACCCATGGTTAGGTTTGGCACAGCTAGCTACACCAGCAAATGGTGGTTTGTCCATGTTTAGTGATCAATCATTCATAATCATATTGGAGGCACGGAATACAATGAATAAGTGCAACATTATTTGGACTAGGGACTTTTTTTAAAGTAAAAGATTTGGAATGTCACATTTTTTTAAAATTAGGTTGGTACCTATATTGTTCTTTTATTGCATTGATAAATGTCGACATTTTATTCCACACAAGTTAAAACTATGTGCAACCCCACTCCATTCTGTAGAATTGAATAAAATTATTTTTTCTCCAATATAGTCAGAAATACTAAATGTTGAGACTTGTATGGATAATTGACCATCAAATGGAATAAATCAACATTTCATTGTCTTTGCCAAACCTTTATAGACTCTTACCCATGGTGCTTTTATTTGTTGACATGTCAAAATGTAAAAGCAGGGGTTTGACTTTGAATAATAGGAACCTAGGAATAATGTTACGTATATAATTCTCAACAATATTCCTTTCTTGCCCGGACTTAGATTGCTCGGACTTAGCATGATCCCCTGATCATAATTAGACTAGGGTTCAGTCAGAAACACAAAGGGAATCTTATGCACATCAATAAAAGTTCAATTTTATGGAATTTTAATGGTAAAGAAAATTGAAAATTATATTGCTTCTATGAAAATAAGCTTATCTCTTTCAATACACCTTGTATGTACCAATTTATTAGTTTGTAATTAAACATTTTTTTTTCAGAATTTTACAAAGAGTCTTGCTTTAGCCATAGCAGCATGTGTTTGTGGATCTTCTTTTATGTTGGGCTATAACACAGGGGTAGTCAATACCCCAGCAGCTGTAAGTTAATAGAACAACACTGTTAGACATTTATTTCTATTATAACTATGGCTGATGACTGTAAAGGTACTTTTAGGAGTATATCATTCAGCCATTGTTAAGATTTACTTACTCTATTTTGCAAATAAAAATCTTTAACCATGCATTGATTTAGAAACTAGATGTCAAAGTAGATCTTTTCTTTCATTTGTTTTAGGTTTTAAAGGATTTTTACAATGCAAGTTATCACAAAAGGTATGGAAATGATCCTTATACAACCAATACAAGTGACGCGACCAATACGAGTGACGTGACCTCCACTGGGTACCTCTCTCCCACAGAACTGTCTATCCTATGGGCAACTACTGTGTCTATATTTGCATTTGGAGGGATGGTTGGGGGGCTCAGTGCGGGATATTGGTGCAATAAATATGGAAGGTATGGTGATTTTTTTCAAATTCCTATTAATGAAAAAAAAATTACATTACATAAGGTTTTTTTTTCACTGTGAACACCTTATATTTTAGGAAAGGGGCTCTGCTGAGAAACAATCTCCTTCACTTGATTGCTGCAGGGCTAATGTTCTCATTCCGTTTTGTTTATTCCTTTGAAATGATGATAGCTGGTCGTTTATTGGTTGGCATATGTGCAGGTATCAGATTGTTTATGTCTTGACAAAAATAAATTAAACCAGTACAGTACTTTTTTCATGTTACTTGTACATGCTTTTAGAATTAAGTTGAAGAAATTTGTGATGACTTACTTATTTAAGTCATTTTTAGCTTTTTCAACTTCAGGGATGTCCATTGCAAAAGCATTAAAACAAATTTTTAAACTTTATTCAAACTTTCAGGGATAAATTCTGGAGCAGCTCCATTATACCTTTCTGAGATAGCTCCCACTTCTCTGAGAGGGTTTGCTGGGGTCTTCAATCAGCTGGCTATCACCTCAGGGGTGCTGGTCGCTCAGATTCTGGGGCTGGATGTTGTCATGGGGACAGAACATCTATTTCAATATGTTTTAGGTATATTTTTTTAAGATAAATTGTTCTTATGAATTTACAAGCATTGATAAACTTTGATATTGAGTGAATATATAAAGATGACTTTGAAGCTTATGTTATAACAATCTGGGTTTATCATTCAGATCTTTATTAATTAAGATAATTGGCAGTGTGTCAATTCTTACCAAAGGTGCTACAGTCATTCCAGTAGCCATGATGCTGTGTTTGTTACCATGGTGTCCAGAATCTCCTCGCTTCCTGATGCTTGTGATGAAAGATGAAGATGAAGCTGAAAAAGGTTTACAGAGTGTCAAATGACATAAAATAACTGTTTAACATAAACTTAGCCATTCCATCTATGAAATAAGATATAACTATAGAAATAGGTACATTGTATAAACGTATAAAATAATTCTGATGTTTTTGTAAATCCCTCACCTGACTTAAGTTAGAATTAATAGACTGACCAATAAACTAACAATTAATTGTTGTTGTGACCTGCAGCTCTGATCTGGCTGAGGGCCACAGATGATGTTGGGGAGGAGTTAGAAGAGATGAGAAGTGAAGGAGAGAAACAGAAAAGAATGCCAAAGGTCAGAATGTCCTGTAATAACACACCATATTAGTCAGAATACACTCACTCCCATCAAATCTTGTTAAGGACATACATGTATTTTATCTGATATTGTTGTAATATTATATTTTGATTGTTACCCGGTATTTAGTTTATGAACCGAGCTTGAACTGTTGATTAATAAATTATTTTTTGTACTTATGATTTTCAGTTTACATTTATGGATTTATTCCATGACAGATTTCTCAGGGATCCACTGACAATCAGTGTAGTTTTACAGCTCACTCAACAGTTCAGTGGCATCAATGCTGTAAGTTTTTACTCTGAAATAGCTTAATTTTCATAAATAATAATTTAGTATTGTATGAAACATTTTCCAAATTTATCTGCATGTTAATATATTTAGATTTTATTCACATTTGCAAATGTGAATGAAAGAAAAGTGTTTAAACATATCTGAAATTATTAAACACTTGGTATATTTATTTTATTTTATTATGAGGGGTATATAGTTAGCTATGCTGCTTTTTGCCATTATTTCAATCCTACCATGGATGTCCCAAACACTCTTAAAATCTGTTTTACTATTTGAAAATGTCACAACATTAGATTTGTTTTAAAACATCTTTTTGTTTTCCTTAGGTGATATATTACTCCACAGAAATTTTTCAAACAGCTGGGCTAAGCATACATGAAGCTGAGTATGCTACCCTAGCAACAGGAGGGGTCAATGTCGCCATGACCTTTGTCTCCGCTTTCATTATGGATAAAGCTGGAAGACGAAGACTTCTATTAATAGGTGTTGGAGGATTATTTATATTCAGTTCCATATTAGCACTGTCACTTATACTCATCAAAGTAAGTTTTTACTTACCTTTATATTAAAAATTAATTTTCTTAGATTGTAGTAATTACATTTAGTTAATAACTTGTTTACATGACTATTTTTATATACTGTGTACTATATGTATAACTCTTATGTCAATGTAAACTTTTATTTTAAGGATGCAGGAATTTCTTGGATGTCCTATGTTGCCATAGTAGCTGTGATATGTTATATTGTCTCCTTTGCCTCAGGACCAGGTCAGTTGAAATGAAATTCTCTCTCTCTCTCTCTCTCTCTCTCTCTCTGATTGTTTGAATATTGGGTGACTGATAGAGGATAAGATAAACAGTGTATTTTGTCAAAATTATCCCCCTTTAACACTGTTAATTTTGTGAACCAGTAAATGATCAGATTACAGGCTGTTGACCTTCCTGTTTTTGTAAAGTATACAGTGTTTATAATGTCCTGGTGCTAAATATACTAAAATAGACACTTTATTATACACAATTTAATATAAAGTGTATGTAATATTTATACCAGAAATCTATTTATATACACACAAATATACATGCAAATAGTAGATTATCAAAAGCAGGATACAGATTATCCGTTATATAAGATTATGAGGTATTATGAGGTAATGCTGTCATCCTTAGCTAGAAAAATTACTCCATTGCACAGAGTATTTGGCTTGTTTATAGTACTAGAAATTTTAAAATAAGATTTACATTATTATTATTCTGTAGACAACTATGATAAAAATTTAATTTCTGCTGTAAACAAACCTAACAAAATATTTTTTTATTTTAATTTTGGGGAAAAAAATTCATCAACTTCTTTATTCATCATTAATAAACAGTATTGACACTTTTTCCCTTATCAAAGTATATTGGTATGAAAGTGTGTATTCTGGATTTTGACAGGTTCAATTCCCTGGTTCATGGTGGCTGAGATTTTCTCTCAGGGTCCGCGATCAGCAGCAGTCTCCGTGTCCACCATGGTAAACTGGTTCTCCAACTTCACAGTTGGACTGGTATTTCCTATATTAAATGTAAGCATTTTTTGCTGCATTCCCACTTTAACCAATGTCATTTCAAATGCTTAAGTGCAGTGTTACATATGTAATATATGAAGGATAATTGTAGCTTTAAAGCTTTGCATTAATTTAATTCTATACAGATAAAGTTTTGGAAGGAAATAAGGTATAGTTTAAATGTATTATTGTGTAGAAGTTCAGGCTATCTGGACCATGAATATCAGCCTGTGTAGCTCTGTGGTAGGGCATCTGATAAGTAATACAGAGGTCACGGTTCAATTATTTGTCCAACCATATATTTTCTTTATGCATTCCTCCTTTTCAATTACATTAAAAATTCTGCATTCAAAATTAATATTCTTCCATTTAATTTTATTGCAGTCTTACATTGTCTTTTGTTTGTTTTGTAGGAGTTGCTGATTCATCAATATTCCTTCCTCCCATTTGTGGTGCTACTGTTTGTTTTCTTAATCTTCATTTACAGAAGAGTTCCAGAAACAAAAGGAAAAACAATCGAAGAAATTTCATTATTATTTATTAAGCCAGAAATGGTTGAGTACGAAAAAATTATTCAAAAAGATGACCTTCCAAACTACACCAGATTACAAAATGAAGACTCATCTCAGGATTCATGAAATATTTATAATCTTTTTTAATCTTGTCTTTTTTACACCTTGATAAATATATGTAAAACTCAGATGTATTTATTATAAATCTTATAAGACAAAATATAGCTTCATTTTTACATTTTGTGACTCTTGATGGACATTTTGTCATGATCTCAGGTGAACATGCATGTTATCATTTTCTCACTCTTTTTTTAAACTCTGCACTCCACTTAAATGATGAAACATACATTTTAATAAATGTTTATAAAAAGATTGATTCTAAATTGCAATATGCATGTTGCAGATTTAGTAAACTTCCGACTTCCTTAACAATTTAATTACCAGCTGTTACCTGCAAATTAAGTTTTGTTAATCTATTTACAAAACTTAAAGATCTATCAAATTCATAAGGATTGATGTTTCAATATAAATATGTTTTTCCTAAAACTTTAATAATCACTTTTTAATTGCAAGCAAAGATAAGATTGATAGATGTTTCTTTCAGTTCTGACAAGGAATTAACACAATGACCTAGATCCATGGCCTTAAATGTGGAATTAACATCTACAAGGACATTTTCTATTTATGTCACATTGCTTTTCATTATTATCCACTCATGACCTTTTTTTAGCTCTACTGGTCAATGCATCTGGCATCCGTCCGTCTGTCTGTCTGTAAACAAATTTTCAAAATGCTACTCCTCCTACAGATTTGGTCTCATTTCAGTATAACTTGGCAAACAAGTAGACTACACTAAGATACATAATTCTGTATATCGGTTTTTGATTTCAATGAACGGTGTTGCTGTGGTTACTAAAAATAGAAATTTCTTTGAAAAACTTTCAAAATGCTACTTCTCCTACAGTTTTGGTCAGATTTCAATATAACTGTGCAAATAAGTAGATTACACTAATATACATAATTCTATATATCGGTTTTTGATTTCGATGAACGGTGTTGCCGTAGTTACTAAAAATAGAAATTTCTTTGAAAAACTCTCAAAATGCTACTCCTCCTACAGTTTTGGTTTGATTATAATATAACTTGGCACACAAGTAGACTACACTAAGATACATAATTCTATATATCGGTTTTTGATTTCAATGAACGTTGTTGCCATGGTTACTAAAAATAGAAATTTCTTTGAAAAACTCTCAAAATGCTACTCCACCTATAGTTTTGGTCTGATTTCAATATAACTTCACAAACAAGTAGACTACCATAAGATATATAATTCTATGTATCAGTTCTTGATTTCGATGAAAGGTGTTGCCGTGGTTACTAAAAATAGAAATTTCTGTAAAATACACATGTACTCTCAAAATGCTACTCCTCCTACAGTTTTAGTGTTATTATTATTTAATGTGCCATACAAGTAGACTACGCTGAGATACATAATTGTCTTTATGGTATTTTTTTTTACTTTTTTATTTTGATGAATGGTGTTCCATGGTAACTAAAATTGAAAATACTGTAAAATTTAATCAAAAGCTACTCCTACAGTTGTAGTCTTATATTGCAATATCTTGTCACAAAAAGAGACTTAATCAAAGATTTTTATTCTATTTATTGCTGCTGTAAAATTTCAAGTCCCAAGCTACTTTTCTCTTTTTTGTTATAAGTACAAACCAGTAGAGCTTCAGTCTCGACAGAGACTTCTGGTTTTTCATTACAATATTCTACAGCAATACTCATACTTATTTTCATATCTTTTATTCATATGTGTACTTTTACATGAAAAAATTTATTGATGCATTTAAGGTTCATAAACCCTCTGCTCACTGATATAAAATGTTTTTTAAACTCTTATGATTTTCCAAAGGAAATTTATATGCTGAGCAAAATACAAACAATTATAGCATGGCTTGCGGGGCAAAATTGGACAAAAAAGACACTTCAACTTGACAAATTTATAAAGGAATAATAGACATTTATGTCAAAAATTAATGAGTATATCTCTCTTAATCAGAAATCTAATTTATGATTAAAATTAAAACAGTTTCAGCTTACCTTTAAGGGTAGAATTTGACAAAAATGTCTTTTAACTTGACAAATTATTTAGTCATCTTACCATTGTGAACTTATGAAGCCAAAAATGTTAAATGTTTTATTATTAATTACATGTTCAACATAAATGTATATGCATTTGTCTGTTCACTCATTTAAAAATGTGTTTTGATTGATAATTCTCTGAAAGAAATCTAATTTATAAGTAAAATTAAAACAATTTCAGCTTACCTTTAAGGGTAGAATTTGACAAAAATGTAGCTGTTTAAAGTGTAACTTGACAGTTGTATGCATGTACATGTTGGATATTTTCTTGTAAGAGTAATGCCTGGTTGAAAATCAAAGGGTTATAGCTATTTAAAGTTTCAGCCAATAAGTCACGTGCATGCACGTGTTTTCATGATAATTGCTATATGTCATGTAGGATATTGTAATGCAAAAAAACAAAGGATTCAAAAAACAAGAAAGATATTGAGAATTGAATACAGAACTATTTTGACCATGTCATTGATCACTAATATATCCTTATGTTATAAGTTTCAAAGCATTTCATCAAAAATTTAAAAAGTTACGCCTATATCACTTTGTCCACTTGCGCGCAAAATACAAAAAAATGCATTTAAAAACATTTAATATGATTATTTGCAGGAAGAAGAAGAAGAAGAAAAATATGTTGTGTAACTTTATTGTAAAAAAGGGCAATGTTTTGGATTTAATATGGAGACATATTGAACGTCAATCTAGTTATTTGTTGGTATATAGGCGGGTTGTTATAATTTAATCTAAAAGTGGCATTACTAGTATACTCTCAAAGTGCACTTTTTTCAATTAAATGCAACCATGAGTATTTACATTGTTAATTTAAAAACTGTTTTTATGATACATGTATTGATGTATTGTATTAAACTTTTAAATGCATTGTATTTTGCCTTCTGGGTTTTGCTTATGAGCTAGAGAATTAGTGATTACATACAGTAATATTACTTTTTTCAAGTAATAATACATTCATGATAAAGCTATGAGGTACAAAGTGAAACATTTCCTCAAAAATACCTCCGTCCCAAGAGCAGTGGCAAAATTACAAATATTTTGTGCAATATGTTTCAAAAAGGTGAACATAATTGTTAAAATTAACGATGTCTTCAATATATATTTCATGTTGCATAATACTTGCATTGTATGTGATCCTTATGTGGATGTTGGTCACTCAAACAAACAGTTGATAAGTGTATATAATGGGGTCACCTTCTTCCTGGGGATTAGATGTTATTGCACGTGATTACACGACTTGTTTACAAGAAGCTGGACTTGAAACTGGGACTCTCGTGACATCAGATTCGTGGAATTCAATTCATAAATTTTATGTAAACAAATGAATTTAAATAAATTTTGTGAAGATTGTGACATACATTTGATGAAAGGTGTCTACTTTTTAACTTAGCAACTGCGTTTATTGCCCTAACCCCAAATCCCTCTTTACCCTTTCGAAAGTGGGACCGATTGCATTATAATGATTGGGCCTTGTGCTCCGGTTAGTGTTAAAATCGATGATTATCATTAAGAACCCAAAGCCAAATTTTGGTAAACTTAAGTCTCAATCCTCAAACCAAAGAATCAAAGACGGTACAGTTTTGGCTTTAGTGACCTTACAATTTAATGTTTTCAAAAAAATATGCAATTGGCTGAAATGTGAGTTTAACGCATGAATTTGATAAAGTTCTTGACATCGCAATAAGCATTTAGGAGGTCATGTAAAAAGAAGAACGTAGAGCCAGATTTTGTATTGAAACCGTGCCTTGTTCTTTATGGTTCACCGAAACTAGTTTTGGTTTGCAAGTTTAGGGACGTAACTTGTTTTTAAGGTAGTCTGATCCTCAGGTTCTTAAAATTTGCAGATAAGTCATTGAAAATACTCATAAGAATATCTCTGGACCCACAAAGTAAGGTAAATTTATCCACAATATTTCCTCATAGTTTGAAACATAATAAAGTATCATATATGGGGATTTTTTCTTCTTCAAATTTCAAATATATATATTCAGGAAAAGCGATTAGAAACATAATTTAGAAGTTGAAAATTGATTCACAGTTATTTTAAGGTTAAAAACTACAGGTATCCAGGCACTCAGAGAAATTGTCAGGAATTTTATCCTTTTTCGATATTCTAGGTCTTCCATTTCCTTCTAATTCCTTTATTTGATATAGCTAGTGTTAAAAAAAGACTGCTATCATTGCAAGACATCACAGATGAATTCTAATTTAGTAGCATTCTAATATGCAACGGTATCTAAGGCTAGATTCAAGAAAATCCGATTTCTCTAAAATGGTATTTAAGTGATACTCCTTCCCTTTTCAAAAAACTTTGCAAAAGCTCGCCACTCCATCCCCTTATGACTTCATCAAAAATTTAATTATTTCAAAACAGAATTTAATTTTTTCATATTTTTGTATGTCACAATTAATAACTGTCATAAAATACAAGAAAGAATGATGATTTTTTTAAAAGTTCTAACAAATGAAGGTAGTAGACAGTGTTACATTTTAAAATTTATTTTCTTTCATTTTCTTAAAAAATCTTTTATCATTGTAACATTACTTTTCATCAGCTCCAAATAATTGCTTGGTTTCAATTCTGAACAAAAAAAAAATTAAAATTAGTAAAGATTTTTTTCTTCTATTTTGTGATTTGTTGATAGAAAAAAATGATGCTGTAAGAAATGAGGAGGATTTCTCGCCATTCAGGATGTATCTGTAACCTGTCCTAACATTTGTCACGTTATACAGTATATATCAAAAATTGTGAATCGCATTATATATAATACATTAATGAGAAATTAATTTTTTTTAAATATTCCATTCAAAAGCACAAAAGACACTTTGAAGATTCTTTTAAAATCATAATAAATTTATATGAAAAAAATTGAAATCAATTCTAAGTCATAATATTAATATTAAATTTGATTTCTTCCATCGATCGGTCGTCAGTATGACGCACTTTTGATATATCCTGTATACATGCATATAAATACATGTATGAAATATGAAGATGACATGATTGATTGATATTGTGATCTATAATCGATATGGATACTTTTTTGTTATCGATTCTGATCCCTCTTGTGCAGGTAAATTCAATTTTAATTCAAATTCTGACTGGTTTGAATTCTAATCACGTGACATTGCTTTTTCATTGAAAACTTTTCACATATCTGCATCCTTATTTAATTAAGATTTAAATATGAATGAATGGTTCAAACCCACTTTATATAGCTAGTAGTTTTTGGAATGATTTGAATGATGGACGAAGTATAATGACATTTATGAAATATGATTATTTTGTGTTCGTTTTGATACTTTTGTTTCTGTTAGCAACTGAATCTTTTAAAGACCCCATTTAACCTATTTTGCCTTCATAAATTACAGGATATCTTTATAGAGATTAATCCACGTGTACATTTATGATCATAAATGTTTAGATATAGCCATAACCAGAAATCATTAATGTACATAACTTTTTTTTTATTTTTGAAGATAAAGTTGTTGCTAAAATATATTTTGTAAGACGCAACGACTTCTTCAAGTATATAGATTTTTTTAAGTTCAGTTTCCAATCGCATTGAAATACAAGTGTACCAACCCCATCCCACCCCCTACCAAATAACATTAAATCAAATGGGCAAAAAGGAAGATTTCGCATTATACTAAGTATATTTGCGTGAGGAATACACTGTTGCAGAAGAATACATCTTTATTGCAAGAGTAAACTGTGGATGTTCAGTACGTTTACAACTGTTCGTCAAAACGGTGTTACACTGTAGGTCTTTTGATAGTGATTATACATAAAACATTCCTTTATTAACGCTCATGACTTCCAAGTACATGTACATGAACACTTCAAATAAGATATGGTTTTCTTGAGAAAGTAGTTCTTATACGATCCTGAGCCAATTTTTGCCTACACCATATTGTCAAAAGCATGTAAGAATACTGACTCTGAATTCTGATTTTTATCAGAAAGTAAAATTTCTCTCAAGAGGAGGGGGAGTCATTTTTCTCTTATGGTTCATTATAATTTATTTAAGAATTTAATTGTTAAGGTCAAAGATTTTTACCTAGAAAACGTAGAAAAGTTATGGGCACGTGCACGGGCATGTGCACGTGCACTGTTTACGTTTATCAGACATTGTTTTGATTTTTCTGGCACCTGACTCTAATGCCTATATATGGAGATTATGTAGTAATATTGTTATCAAGAAAAGAGCGGAAATCTATAATTACTAAATCAGACAACATTCAATAATAATGTCGGATGTGCATGTGGTTCATAAAACATTGTATACGGTATCTGTGTCATGACGGCTGCGCTAAGACGTCCTCATACACGTTAACCCAGTTAACAAAACGAAATAAAACAATCTTCATAGTTTATGCATAGGTGTCGGAACAAGGGGGGGGGGGGGGGGGGCTTAGCCCCCCCCCCCCCCCACCACTTTTTTCCCAAATATATACTTAGTATAGACATTGAACATTGCTTCGTAGGTTTAGCCCCCACTTTCCACAGACACGTCGCAGTATAGTTTAAAAATAGGGAAAGTGGTGGTGTTTGGAAAAAAAATTGGTACTGAAGTTCGAACCTACACCCCCCACCCCACGAAATAGGATTTTCGTGGTTGGGAAAGAAATTTCCTTTTTTTGTTTTTTTTTTTTGCTTATCAGGTTTTTTGAAGGTATAATAATTTTTTTTTTATACTTAGCCCCCCCCCCCACTTTCAATTTGCTTCCGACGCCAATGTTACAAGTTCTCAAAGGAAACGATTCTGACAAAATGACTAACTTTTTGACTAGCCTAAATTAGACTACGGATCCTTACTATTGGAGGGGTGTGTGTGCTAAAAATGCATGTTCATTATTCAATTCTCATTAGTTCTTGTTGCAGTACGGTTGAACCCTCATTTGTAGTAATACTCAAATAATTTTTGTCGAAAATCCTTATACCCCATTAGGTTTAAGTTTAAACAATTCAATTTTCGGGGGGGGGGGGGTATTTATCCCCCTCCCCCGAAAAACAATGCCATGTCTTGACCAGCTTTATTTTCAACAATAAATTGAATTACCGTCATCATATGTGTATCTCGAACTCCAATACGTAAAATATGTTACAACAAACAGGAATCCTACTTACACAGTATGATGTTGAATATGGTATGAAACAGCTGATTTACACGTCAAAGGCTAACTCGGTTCCTTCTCTACTGAATACGTTAAATATTACCTCATGGTCTCCAAGTTGTAATTTCATTTGGATTGTTAATGCATTTCCTATGACTAATTTGAAATAGAATACATGAATACGAAGTTGTAACATATCCAGTTTTGTAGTTCACTAGGTTACTTGTAGAGATAGTTTTAGGACTAAAATTAACCAAAAACATGATTCTGCTCCACAAACTAAGGGGAAATGGGAAACTTATTGATTTTACGCTCTTTCTCAAATGTTTCTCCAAGTAAAACTTGTCAATATTACATGTATTTATAATGTAATAGCACTTAATGAATACATTGGCAATTTGAAAGATTTGTTTGACATGAAGTGGGTTTCAACTTTTTCCAAGATATTCTGTTCTTTTTTTTTTAAACCAACCCTTTGCTTGTTAATATTGAAAGAAAGTAAGCAGCCAATTAAGGGTGTAGTAAAAGGCGTCTTGTTTGGAAGCTTTTATGGCAAAGGTATCAAAAGAGCTCAACTACCAAAGATAGATCACATTTTCATCCTAATATTCGTTTTTATTATTTTCTGCTGTAGGTTATAGGTCACGTGACATCATCACCTATCGATAAACTGATCACAAATGCTGCAGTTGAAAGTGAGTCGAATTTTGTTTGATAGATAAAAAGATTGATATCACAAATGAAAATTGAAGTAAGAAATTTTTTCACCACTTACTATATTATTGACAGATTAATAGCAGTAAATTCCTAATATAAGTGTTTTTATTAATTTTATTGAACGTTCTAAACAGACAGTAAAAATGTTTTCTCTGGTTTCAGCTACCTCGTTTGACATCGTAGCGAATACCAGTACAAAGACCCTCCGTTTGGAGCTCGATATTTTAGTTGATCTGGATGATTATGTGGACACACGAAAAGATATGTGAGTGCTTTTTACATTAAATAAGGTCATAAATATACAAGGCAGTAGGGTCATTTTTCTTCTTCTTCGTTATTATTATTATTATTATTTTTTTTTTTACATTTTTGCCACAATTCGTAAATTTAAATGAATTGGCGGATGATGAAGAAAAAGCTTTTCTTTATCATCCACCAATTCTTTAAGGGGACTTGAAATACATGGTTTAGAATTCAAATTAAGACTGATGCTCAAAGGCAAGGTTAGGTGGGTTAAAAAGGGGGTACCCAAAGAACAGTCACATGGAATAAAAATTTGAAATATAAAAGCCCTAAATTTAAGTGTTTGTCACGACACCCTATTAAGCTTGATCAGTGATAACAAGATTGTTGTTGTATTTACAATTTTATATAAAAACAAATATATACAAATATACAAAATGAAAATTATAAAATTTCAAAATGTCTATCAATGTCCATCCTGAGACCACGTTCCTATATCCGTCCCCGCCTCCTGTGTTTACCAGTCCATGACCTACGGGTACCACGCCCTTACACTAAATGCCACCACGTCCTCGACGTCCCGCGCCTATCCCACGCGTCTTAAGCGTCTGCAATGCTGCCAAACCCGGGAAACCACTTTTCCTCTCTCACGGTCTCGGCCCAGCGTACCACGCCCTTAGGTTGCCTCCGCCGACAGCACCAAATCATACTAACGTACATGTATCAATAGGGACCTTCAACAAATATGCGTAGACATAATAAGCTTGACCCCGAACGGGCTGCCTTACAACATAACATAAATGTTTACACATATACTTGTTTAAACATACAGTTTTAACTAAGTTAACATGTATCACACCGCTTCGCAAAGCAAAATAATAATACAATGTAACGTTACACTCTGAGTAATAAACTAATATCATTACTTTACGCTTAAACTCACGGCATGTGCACGTGGTAAAATTCCCGTATACAATTCAAACACTTTCTCGTGGATAAAAATAGAATAAGCTCAATTAACATAATACTGCATTACTTTTTAATATAATAAATGTAAGTAAATTACACTTACCCTGATTGGAGATTCAGTTACCACGAAAAACTACCTAACCCTCCATGGACATGTGAAACTACTTTCACTGGTCAAGGAAAACGTGCGCTACCCAAGACAAACCTGACATCACCTTATATAGCGACTGGCCAAATATTTAAATCACCTGAGCGTCACAATGGGGCTCCTTGCAGGATAAACGCTAAATACAAATAAGGCTCAACACAGGGCAATACTAATAAAAGAAAAACAAATAAACATATAACAAAATCAACTTTGATTGTGACAGTGTTAAAAAGATATCCCCAAAAGTTAAAGTTTTATAATTCTTTTTTTTTTTTTTTGCAAAAGTAGACGGACAGATAAAACGATATGCCCCCACAACTTCTATTGCGAGGGCATTAGATCATAAATGATCAACAAAAAGGCCTTCCGTAGAAGACGGGAAGACCTTAATTGTGCAAGAGATGACAAGAAAAGAAATGGATAACCATTCCTCAGTTGGTGTGTTCCCCGAATGGCTACTGGAATAAAACAACAAGTAATTATCACACTCAATTAACAGGGGTACATTCTATTGTTTACCTGGATAAGCAATATTTTGTAAATCAGATATATTCATTCAATTATATTTTAATTCAGAGGGTTTTCTATTTTCCGAAATATACTGAATAAAAATATATATAAGTAGATAAAATTAAGATTTAAGAAAAGTGAAATTTTTATTGTACCTTTAATTTAATTTTTCCCCCAAATTATTAATAGTATTGATTGAGAACTTAAAAATTATTATCCCTTTTTGTGCTACATTTTCAAACTCTTTTAGATAAATTAACCAGTTTTTTTTTTTTAATAATATACCGGTAGATATATATGAATGATAAATAAAGTGTTTCTATAAAGTTTTGTTTAATTTATTTTATTTATCTATCATTTTGAATTATCAAAACATTCTATTAAATAATCATAAAATCCAGATGAAGTTTATGAACTTCTTCACCTTTTGGCAATCCTTTAGTTGCAAAGAAAAGAGATGACTAAATAAATTGTAAATATGTGTTATATGAAAGTGAAACAGAGTTATCTCATATATCAGTGCTGCTAATCAATAGAACTTCAAGATAATTTATAGTTTTTAATATATAATTTGTGCTTGTAAAATTATTTATTTAAAAAATATGTACATGTATACAAAATATTTATTAAGTGAATTTCCATTTTATTTTGTTTCAATTATGGTAGATTATTCATACCGGTAAGTCTACCTGTACCCCTTAGAGGGCCCCTTAATTGAGTGTGATAATTACTTGTTGTTTTATTCCAGTAGCCATTCGGGGAATAAACCCCTCAGTTTATTATGAATTGATGTTGCCTGACCATTTTTTCACTATTTTCAGCATTTTAGAAAGTGGTAAACGGAAAAAGAAAAGGAAAGCAACTAGAAACACAAGAAAACGCTGGCCAAATAGAGTGATTCCTTACATAATCACAAATGATTTCAGTAAGAAAACCACATTAATAGTTTGCAGTATGTATTATTTGTACACACTGCACATAGATATGGCATCCTCGAAATCTGATAACATGCATAACTGTCTTATTTTTGTTAGAGAGATTTATTTTTATTTAAATTAATTATAAGGGCTCCAACTGGAAAGCAACGGATTCTTATTTACTTTTGTGTTTAAAAAAATTGTTTTGTTCAAGAAGATATGGAAAATTATGTAACAAATCAACCACGATAATTTGTATGGTCACTTAAAGAAACCGTTTGCTAGCAGTTGATACATTTATACAATGAAGCGCATTGAAGTGGTAAAATTTTCCATTTGGACGAAACGTTCTGAGTCATGTTTTGAACGTCAATTATAACATAACGACACGCCCATTTCTTTAGAAACGAGAAAGGAATATCCGCCGTAATGTTTTAGGACACTACACTTCCCGCGACAAGCAACATGAGTTACATTGAAATTAAGAGTTTTAAATAAGAAAGAGCTATGTATAGAGTTCCCGCTTATGTAAAACACGCATTGCAACGAATTTGTCCATAATTATGATTTTATCATGTTTATTGGAGTTAGCATAGCACATGTATCAGTCGAACACGTGCTTACTCGATGTTTATGTAAACCGTCAATTTCATTGGATGTTATATTTATGAAATACCTGTTCTACAGGTATTCGATTGAATCATTTGACCGAGTTTTCCTTTCTAAAGAAATGGGCGTATCTAAAGATAGCTCAAAACGTTCCATCCAAACAGAAAATTTGACCACTTCAATGCGCTTCATTGTATATATATTTAATGAAATCAAATAAAAGCGTTAAATGAAAAACTTATTTGTAGAAAACGCTAAACCAAGTTAATAATCTTATCCGTCTTCGTGAGACATAACTACTTACATTTGTATACTAATTTCTAGTAAATTTTGTTGAATATGTGAAGAAGGAAGGGAATTTTAATTAAGCCCTTGACTGTGCCAACTCCAACTCTGCGATACCTGTGATTTTATTTCAGGTGCTGCAGATAGAGTACAAATCAAAGCTGCTGTGGATGAATGGAACAAATACACATGTCTTACCATCAGGGAAGCCACGCCCTCTGATGTCAACAAAGTCCGATTCCAGAACGGAAACGGGTATTGTGGATAAGTTATTTTTAGACATAGCATAAGGGGATGAAAATCCTATGCAGAGTGTTCGATGAAGAATTAAAGGACAAAGAAAATTTTAGGGGTTTTGCTACAAAATACTAATACAGTACAATGTATCATCTTCGCTAGCCAAGGGTTTCTGCTACGCTACTCTCCTCATAAACCCTTGGCATACCGTGAAGTCAAAAGACGGGATTGTTTTCGTCACGTGATCTCGAATCTATCAGGTACGCACAGATTGCGTCATCGACAAAAATAAAGACACGTGTTTAAAAAAAATTAAATTAAAGTTTTTTCAAGAATAATTTAGAAGCAATAATTGAGTAATGTTTATTTATTACTTATGGTAAAAATCGGAAGCTTCAATATAGATTCTTAATCACATATTTAGAAGATATTGGATGACACCATAGCTTTTCATAGAATTACATGTTATCTTACGGATCGTTATTTACTTGCGTTTTTCAACTCCGAGATTAAAGAGTCAAGAAGTATCCCGAACGAAAATATCGTCATTTACAAAAAACAGTTGATGATTGGTCGACAGGTGTGTACTGAAATCCAATCAGAACTCTGGAAAAAAATCCCGATTTTTATGAACACCGTAGGCCAAGGGTTTATGAGGAGAGTAGCGTATCAGAAACCCTTGGCTAGCGAAGATGTACAAAGTATATGTGTCATAAATTATTTACGGATAATTTTCATTGTTATATTCCAGGTGTTCGTCTTACATTGGTATGGTTAAAGGTGAACAGGAATTAAATCTTGGAAGAAACTGTCGAGTTGTAAGTGTCCGAAAGGAATGAATATGCCGGGGGGGGGGGGGTGTATTAATATACATTTATTGCCAATTATGAAGATTTATAAAACTTTTAAAAAGGAAAATTACCTTCCTAAGAATTTAATCAGAATTAACTTGTTTTCAGAAAAGAGTGATTGTCCACGAGCTTGGTCATGCAATCGGGTTCCAACACGAACAATCCAGACCGGACAGGGACGCTTTTGTAGAAATCGTTAAGGAGAACGTACCGGAAGCCCTGGCTTATAACTTTGACAGACTTCCGATTAGCAAAGTTGATGATTACAACGTGGAGTATGATTATAGAAGCATCATGCACTACAGTTCAAAGGTGTGTTTTATGTTCTGATTACGTTCAGAGAATACAATGTGCTTTAGAAAATTTGCAGTAAAAATTATTACCTAAGATATTAATGTTGAAGAGATACTTACATATCTGTGTTTCGATTCTAATATTTAGGCTTTCTCGACCAATGGAATGATAACTGTTAGGACCAAAGACCCAGAATACCAAAATGTCATCGGGAACGCCCCTGGTCTGAGCTTTCTGGATATCAAGCTGGCGAATCTAATGTACCATTGTAATGGTAAAAATTTATGTACTTATCATCTCTTAAGCAATACTGTGCTAATTATGATGAGTGAATTTAAAATTTTCCGATGTTATAAAATCAGCATGCTGCATCATATTCAATTTAGGTCTATGGCATCGTCGTAAACCACGGCCAAAATGTACGATCCTCTCCCATTCTGGCCGTGGTTGAACGAGGAGAGAATTCTTCGTAGCTCATTAAAATATTGACCAATGCGAGTAAAGCATAGTCGGAAGATGAACTTTATCGCGACCTTTCAATATCCAATCGCAGTAAAGGAAATATTTCTTCCATACTGTTGACGTCAGTTTTGATTTCAATTGCGATGGAAACAAAACTTGCCACTGACTGAATATGACGTCACAATAGAGAGGCGTGAATATTCACGATTACGACACTTTTTGTGATCAAGCAGCCACGGGTAGGAGAGAGCTATATGCGGACTCCGGACCGTGGCTTGAGACGATGGGTCTATGGTTGCATTGAAATGTTTTAAAAGATGACAATCGGTTCGAATCAAATATTCCGGTCTCTTTCACTTAGTGTGGCATATATCCTAAATACACAGGCACCTGACGTTACTTATTTTTCTTTTAATAAAAAAATATACACATACCAAATAATAAACAAAGTTTATTATTTGGTATGTGCATATTTTTTTATTAAAAGAAAAATATTTGATTCGAACCGATTGTCATCTTTTAAAACATTTCAATGCAACCATAGACCCATCGTCTCAAGCCACGGTCCGGAGTCCGCATATAGCTCTCTCCTACCCGTGGCTGCTTGATCACAAAAAGTGCCTAAATATAATTCAACATTTTGTTAAGAAGGGAATATATAGGATTTGTAGAGCATTATGTGCCTCTTATGGCCTTTTATTAACCAATCGGTTTTACTTTTTTTTCTCACCAGTCAACTGTACAGTGGTGCAGTGTTCCGGCAGAGGTTTCCAGGCCGGTGACTGTAAGTGTTACTGTCCGTCTGACAATCCCTCCAACCCACTAAAGGTGTGTGACGACACAGATAAAGTCACCAACAAACCAACCGTGACGTCAACTCCGGCTCCCAACCCAGTCACTGAAACACCCGTCTCAGGTAAATATACAGAAAGAATCGAAAACCTAAATTTCTGTTTTATTAACGTCAGAATAAAATTTTATCTAGTTTTCAACTGTATTTATGAAAAAACTGCATTTTTTTGGGGGGGGGGGGGATTCGGTCCAATCAAAACTAATTATTTTGACATTGTCCACCCACGAACTTTGAGGACAACACCCATGCATGAATATATTGTGATTCGGGAATATATTTAAAAAGTATAAAACACTAGCATTTGTTAAACCTCATTTAAGTGAGTAAAATTTTTTGTGGTGTTCATTTAAATACAATTTTCACATAACACGTAATCTCCTCCTAACAGACAGCTGTAAGAACGGACATAACTACTGTGATTTCTGGGCCACAAGAGGACACTGTGATTCCTCCCCCGGATTTATGAACCTCTACTGTAAAAAAGCGTGTGGCAGATGTACAAAAGGTAAATACACCTCTTACAACAGGTGTTTATGCAATGTTTTTCAGGGGGGGGGATAAAATCAGTCTTTAAAAGTTAACTTTGGAATAAGTGTATGTTTCTATGTTTCTTAAACATCCTCCTAACAGAAATGCATTTTGATTTCACAAAAAACTGTATTTTTTTAACACAGATACTGAATTTTGTGAGGATGTCGGACAACACTGCAATTTCTGGAAGACCCAGGGTTACTGTGCCATGAATATGATGCCGTATATGCAAAGGAGTTGTCGTAAAACTTGTGGATACTGCACATCAGACGAAGGTTGTGTTTATTTATTTAAATTCTGATCTGACATTTATGATAATCTTTTTGAGAAGCTTTTGTCATCTATTATCTGCTCTTTTAATCGTCTTGTATTGTTGCCATTTTAGGTAATGGAGAAGGTATTGCTCAACCACTGAATGCAGGAAAAGAAATTACAGCCAAGACGGCCTTTGTCATTATTTTGACTATAGTACAAATAATCATCGCAAAAATTCTTTGAAAAAAATGAATGCTTTAAAAGAATTCCTCAGAAATGAATGGAATTATTTTTTTCAAGAAGAGCTGGGCCTCTTCGAAAAAAGGAACAAGATGTGCGATATCTTTAAATATCCTCCACTTTTCAACCATCCACAAGTTAACCAGAGGAAATTCTTATATCTATATTTGTTTCATCAAGCTTTCAACTTTTTTCAACCATTCACAAGTTAACTAGAGAAAATTCTTTTATTCATATTTGTTTGCATCAAGCTTTCAGATTTCTGATGTTTTAATGTAGATACGATTTAATTTCAAGTACAATGTATATCCATCTACTTCCCAATGGTCATTAGGAGGATGAAAAAGTTAAGTGTTTGACTTCTGGGTCCTTCGCTGTAATGTACTAGTATTAGATTTGTATAAAAAAAATCTCCCGGTGACGAAGCTTGTAACACAGTGACGAGAAAAAACGCTGAGCGTTGCCATGTTGCTTTCATTCAGACCTAATATCTGTGATAAATTAAAATGTGATTGTTTTAATTTGTTTCGAACAATAAAAAGAAAATAAAGTTTTTCAGTCTGTATTTTTTTTTTAAGAAAAGCATCACAAACACACACCCTCTCACATTGGGCGTCCCCGGTTGTGAGGATGTCCCGGTTAGAAGGTGCGTAAACATACTATTGTCGCCATTCGACACCTGTTACGCACGCTCACGCACACACACTCTCTCCCTCGCACACACAGACATACACGCACTAAGTGCTGCAGAATTTAAATCTTTGAATGAAAATATGTATTTTATACTGTTTAATTTTTATCACAACAATAATGTACAAAGGTATAACAAAGAGTTACTTTATAATCATTCGATTTTATTTTGGGACGAAACTTTTTTTCTCGTCGCTGTCATCTTTATGGTCTTCATCAGACTTATCATTTTCTAACTCTCTTGAGTCCTCTTTCTCAAGTGAGTCTTTCCTTGATTCTCTATGGATTTCATTGTGTTCTGTTGAGGATGAATCTTTGTCATCGACTTCGTGAGATGATTCATATCCGTGGCTTCCATGTTCTTTTGAATCCCCATGTTCTTCGTGTTCAATTTCTCTGGAGTCTTTTCCCTCATGTGAATAGTCTTCAATTTCATGCAAAACATGTTCGTGTGAATTGTCTTGTTCAATTTCATGTGAATCCTCTGCGTCACTTGATGCATATTCATGTGAATTATCTTCCACTTCATTTGATGCATACTCATGCGAGTTATCTTCTACTTCATTTGATGCATATTCATGTGAATCGTCTACTTCATTTGATGCATATTCATGCGAGTTATCTTCTTCTTCATTTGATGCATATTCATATGAATGATCTTCGTCTTCGTTTGATGCATATTCACGCGAATCATCTTCAACTTCCTCAGACGCATATTCATGTGAATCATGTGAATTATCTTCAACTTCATTTGAGGCATATTCATGTGAATCATCTTCAACTTCCTCTGACGCATATTCCAATGAATGATCGCCAGAGTCTTGTGCGTGGTTTATTTCAATTAAGTTCTTGTTCGTTTCTTTGGAGTCGTTTAATTCATGCGAGTTATCCCCCGATTCGCGTGAATTCTGTTCACTTTTATGCAAATGATTGAATTCTTCAGAAACAGCCACAACAGGTATATTAGGCATGTGTCCTCTGTGTGCATCACTACTCACCCCCTCTCGAGAATCATCTGCTTCATCGTATACTTCATCGCTGTGTTCGTAATGATCATCTTCATAGTCGTCATTTCTTTCTAGTGAGTCATGTTCTTTCGTCTCCCTTGAATTTTCAAAGGAGTCGCCTTTTTCTACTTCTCTGGATTCCACGTGTTCGAAAGAGTTTTCTCTTTCTTCGGAGATATCATCAGATTCATCAGAATCCACATACGCCTTCACGAAGGCATCCTTCCGCTGAACCTTTCTCTGCCTCTTGGCCTCGACTCTTTCAGTTCTTGGGTGGTAATTACCTGAAGAGTTTAAACACAGTTCGATTAAACAGACCTGTTTACTCATCCGCTTTTGGCGTATTTCTTTCATTTTTTAGCTCACCTGAGCCAAAGGCTCAAGTGAGCTTTTCTAATCACATTTTGTCCGTCGTCCGTCTGTCCGTCTGTAAACTTTTCACATTTTCGACTTCTTTCCTAGAACTACTGGGTCGATTTTAACCAAACTTGGTACAACGAATCCTTGGGTAAAGGGGAATTTAATTTGTTAAAATGAAGGGCCAGGTCCTCTCACAAGGGGGAATAATCAAGAAAAGACAAAATTGGTCGGGATCATTAAAAAATCTTCCCAAGAACCACTGGACCAGAACAGCTGAAACTTATGTGGAAGCATCTTGGGGTAGTGTAGATTCTAAATTGTTCAAATCCTGACCCCCGGGGGTTGGGCGGAGCCACAGTAGGGAATCAAAATTTTACATAGAAATATATAGGAAAAATCTTCAAAAATCTTCTTCTCAAGAACCACTGGGCCAGAAAAGCTGAAACTTATGTGGGAGCATCCTGGGGTAGTGTAGATTCTAAATTGTTCAAATCATGACCCCTGGGGTTGGGCGGGGCCACAATAAGAATGAAAGTTTTACATAGAAATATATAGGAAATTTTTTAAACAAAATTTTCTTCTCAAGAACTAATTGGCCAGAAAAGCTGAAACTTATGTAGAAGCATCCTGGGGTAGTGTAGATTTTAAATTGTCCAAATTATGACCTGTGGGGCACGATGGGGTCACAATAGGTATTACAAGGGGAGAAATCTGGTTAAGAACAGCATGGTCAAAGCTTCTCAGGTGAGTGATGTGGCCCATGGGCTTCTTGTTATCACATACGCTAATTACGCCATGAAAATAACTTAAATAAGTATTACTTTTTTATGCTTTCAATAAATTTTTATTTAAGTATTTTAGTATTTCTTGCATTTTCTACTAATAATTTTGTAAATGATCAACCTATAAAGCTTGAATAAAAAGGGGGGAAATAATTGACATCGGATTATAGGCATGATTTGCAAGGATTTAAGGATATTTTTTTCTATTTTCAAGTTAAATAAAGTTTAGAGTACGCAATCCATTCGTCATGTGCCTGTATTTTCTATAAATGACATGTACTGATTTAACAAAGGATGATCTTCCGGATAGCTAACTGTAAAAGAAGTAAATATTTTTTTAATATTCTTTTTGATTAATAAATTCCTCTTACTTGTTAAATGTCTCACTTCAAACACCCAGGCATCTGTGGTTTGAAATTCTCTGAAGCTTACAACACCATCACCTAAAAAAGAATTCATTTCATCATAATACGAAACTAGTTCTAATTGTAACGGGGACCGTTACAGATGTTCCCCAAACGCTCCCCAACTCCCTTTTTGTGCAAATTTCCTTTAAAACTTTTTTCAATATGCTTAGTATCGCAGGATTTCATAAAAGAATTTTAAAAGCTACAATGATATCAATTTTTGTCATTTAACGCATTGTTCGCAAACGCACGTGCATGCACATGCACGTACGGTGATCATGACATGTTGTCTAAACCATTCACATATCTTTATATTCCAGAAATCAATAAAAAGTCATAAAAATATAAATTTTACGGTTTTTCAAACATATTGTTCATTTTACGCATTGCGTGTGCGCATGTGCATGCAAGCACGTCCTTGCATTCAATTTTGATAGCAATATCATGTAGGAATCCATAATACCTATTCATATTCTAAACTTCATCCTGGTTTGTTGAGAAACAAGAAAGATATAGCCATGTAAAGTTTCAGCCAATCAGATTGCAGCACACGTGGATTTATGTGCTTTCATGATAATTCTTATATATCATGCGGTAGATCTTCATAATATGTGACAAAGTTCAAAATTTCAAAGGATTATGACGTAAAACAAGAAAGATATTTAGACTTTAGTTTCAGCCAATCAGAGCATAGCGCACGTGCATGCGCGTAAGATCTTGCAATTTTGACCATGTCATCTTGTCCATACTACTACTATCTTCATGCATTGTGAGTTTCAAAAAATTCCATCAAGAAATAGAAAAGTTACGGCTTCATCCATTATCTTGGTAATTTCACATGTTGCACGTACTCGCTCTTGCCAGCACACGCGCATGTACGTGCTTTCATGAAAATTATTATATACCATGCTGTAGATCTTCATACTGTGTGACTAAGTTCAAAATTTCAAAGGATTATGACGAAAAACAAGAAAGATTTTGAGACTTTAGTTTCAGCCAATCAGAGCGAAGCGCACGTGCATGCGCGTGAGATCTTGCTATTTTGACCATGTCAATACGTCTATACTACTAATATATACTTATATTATGAGTATCAAAGCATATAATAAAAAAATAGAAAAAATTATTTTGGTCATTTCACGCGTTGCACGTGCGCGCTTACACGTGCGCGCAAAATGTTGTCCGCAAATCTACATAACATGCCTACTGACCCTAAAAAGGTTTCATCTAAGTCGGACGTGTAGTTAACAAGATCATTCGCGGAAAAGATTTTCCCAGGAAGAAGAAAAATAATAATAATAATAATAAGAAACAGAGTAAAAACAATATGTTCCCCAACTTCGTTTGGGGAACATAATTATACAGGTATTTATCCATGTTGTAAAAAAATTTTAAAATTACTGTTTAAAAAAAATCAAAATACATGTATGTTGTATATACAAACCGTATTTTTAAAACTCTCCTAACAACTTTCCTTGAAATTCGATAAGATTTTGAAACTTTTCATGGCCACGTACCATTTTCGTCGGCAGCGCGGAATGCAACTTTGACGTGGAGTTCACGTGGGTTGTGTCCTAAAGTTCTGGCAAATTCAGTGAGAGATATGAGTCCGTCTTCGTTGACGTCGTAGAACGATAGACTTCGAGGTAGGGGTGTTATATGAACGTTTCCATCTGTGTCTGTCTGTAAAAAAAGTAAATTGGATTAGAGATCAAATATTCCTTAGATGGTGTAATTGAGAGTTACAAATCTACCCAACTTATGTTAATTAATGTACATGTATAAACTTAAGGATTGTGCAATACAGTTTTTATTCCTTTATTGTAAGAGAAAAGGGTTTTTTAATTTTGTAAGTTAAATTTTGGAATAAGCTGATAAAAGCAATCAAATATGCAACAGAAGTTATCTAATAATTTTAGTATAATACCAGCATTTTTAGTGACTGCTTTCCTGTGTATGCATTGGTGCAAACGTGTCTCAGAATAAAAGCACAAGTAAAATCAGAATCAAATCCTGTGTATTTTCGGCAAACTCTAGGAGTAACCACGCGACAGTGTCCTGAAATTAAATCTCTCAAAGACATTTTTAAATCCCATTTCGATGCAGAGGTCGCAAGAATTGAAAACAAGAAAATGATACACAACTTGTAGACTTTTGACAACATGGTCAAGTTCTTCTAAGAGTGATGAGGAGATTTTGGGGTATATTTATATATATTGGTCCTAGGTGACCGTGGGCGATAGACATTATGTAACTGTCGTGGTCATGAAAGTTCTGGCGCTCCGACACTATCAATTTGCCATTGTTAAACATGCTTCTGATGACATTTATATGTAATGGGAATGTCCTTTTACTCTTTCTTATGTGTCACGTAATCAGGCACAAATTGTCAAAACATTAGGACCCATAACGAACTCCCTTAATCATCTCCATAGATATCAATTGTACATCACAGGAAAATCTTTGTAAGATTCATCTAAAAGTGGGAAATTCCTTATTAGTTTACATGAAAACGTGTGATAATTCTATCGCCTTTTATTGGATGATAAAATAACGCTGCACTATCATTATTATTTATATCCGTTGCATATATTTGCATAAATATTCAACAAATGATTCGATTGGTTATTAACCAGTAGTTATTGTGTGATAATCATAATTTGCTGTAATTCTTTTTTTTGTCATTGTAAGTAGATAAAACAGAGACAAAACCTAAAGACAATTTTTTTGTTTTGTTTTTGTTTTTTTTTTTTGTTTTTGGGGGGGGGGGGGGGGGGTCTTTTTTGGTCGGTTGGTTTAAAGTTCGTTTTTATTTCATTGGGGGAGGGGGTGTAAAGATGCAGTTTTCCAAAGAGAATCAGATACACGCATACCCTGTACTATGTATATATGAACTAGCAATATTTGGATATCCCATTGGCATTTTTTGAAAGTGTCCCTTGAAGACAATTTTTTTTTTCACAATAGATTCATCGGCAATTAGAATGAGGAATATTTTAAATAATTATTGTATGAAATATTATATTATGGCATTATTATATAAGAAATATCCATATTTATCCTTCCAGTACCCCTTCAACATTGCAATATATGAGGGAAATCTTTATTTTGCACCCTCTCCCCTTCCCGATCCAACACTTTTCACAGATATTCGAAATACATGTATTGGAAAATATTTTCCCCCGAAATCGTAAACCAGCAACCCATTGATATGAGCCGTTTGTCTAAATGTCTTGTAAATTGAATCCCAGTAGGATGTAGAACATGACAGGTGATTTGTAGATCTATCAATGTGCATCACGATCTTTCACACCTGTGTACACTGGTCACTGATTGAGAGAGATGCCTCTGATTTTAATCAGACACAGACAGGTTTATGGCGGGGCTACTTCTTTGGATTTCTACATTTTTATAAATGTCTTATTTTCAAATACTTTAGTCTACGAGCCAAAGTCGCAAACATTCATCCTAAATTAAAAAGTAATCAATTTATTTGCCTCATGCTCTTGTAGAACAGTTTACAATAAATCAAGTTTTTTTGCATTTATTTTTGAATGAATAAATATATGTAAATTGCATAACAATTTACAAAAAGTGCTTTTTTCTTGGAGAAAAATATATCATATAAAGGTGTGCATATTACTATTTTTTTTTTTTTGAAATTTTCAAACATTTAAAAAACATGACAATGAACTAAAAAAAATACTTTTGTATCTGGGAAAATTAATGGAAATCTCAACCATTTTTTCTATAACTTCCTTACAAATTATTATACAGGTGCAATGTTTGAGGGAAAATATTAATTCTGGAATAATTATATACTGATCTCAAAAAAAAATCAGGAAATAGTGCATTCATTATATTTTTTTTTTTTAAATTAATAATGGAATCAATTCAAATAAAATAAAACAGGTATAATTTTTTTAAAACTGTAGCTCTCTCTCTGTCAATATAAAATGTACAGTTTACGTCCATGATGCCCAACGGGAGATAACTCTAAAGAGAAAAAATTCTATAATCATCGGAAAAAAAAACATCGCTGACTTTAAAGTTTTAAACCATTGGTTTTCTTTTTATTTCAAAATATATCAATAGCCAGTCACTTATGTACATTTTTCTCTTTCTTAAGAGAATCTCTAATAAATCACACAACATGCTGTGTTCACAACATCACAAAATGTCAAAGCACCAACAATGGAGGCAGGGGCATGTTGTAAAAAAACAATAATCCAATAAAGTTAGGGGGTAAAACTAAGATGCAGAGGTATTCATCTGGATATTTTTAAAAAACAAAATAATGTACATCTGATTACAAACATCTATAATTAAAATTAAAATAATGTACATCTGATCACAATATCTATAATGATAATCATAATGTACATATGATAAAAAATCATCTATGATGTACAAACAGCAAGAATCACAACAGTTTGGGCTACATGTGTGAGCAACTTCTGACGGCATAAACTGGTAGAGATTACATTATACATGTAAATATGCATGTGATAAGAATTGAGAATTAAACTTATGATGATCGAGCATTGAAACTGAACTTGAAGCTGGAATGGACAGGTGGATGGAAGACATAAATAATTGATGCGTAGAAAAGTTATAACACAAATGTCATCACACAAACAATAGGGCATGTACCAAAACCCATATCATAATAAACTGCACTCTTCAGCGAAAAAAAAAAAAAAATAAATGGGTTTGAATGTGATATTATATATGGCACTTTTCATTAATTTATATAAAAATGCTCCCATAAAATGTAGTTATAAAAAGGAAACCTAAAAAACAAGTAAGAATTGCATGTTACTTCATTAAAAATAATTTTTCAGTGTTTATTATGACTGTGTGAACTCTCTTCAGAGAAAATGTATCAAAATATTAATTTGCAAAGTAGAAACTTTCCATTTTTCTCAAATGTATAAAACATTTGGTCCCTAAGTCTGATTATAGTTGGTTCCAATTCTTATTTTCAGTGTACTGTTATTGAGAGACTTTGGCACTTAATCTCTAAATGAAAAATACAATTCAAAATTTCTTTGTCTCCATCACCAGATATTAATTGCGTTTGGTAAATTTCTTGCATTGAATGCATTCATTGAAATTCTTCGATCACAGAAATTTTAATTCTAAAATTAGATTTTCAATTAAGGATGAACAAGAAATCTGTGAGCCAATGCTCACTAGTAATACCCCCGCTCTGATGTGAATAAACACTACCATGTTAATATATATACAAGCTCAATTACAGGCAAATGCACAGAAAAATATGAAGTTGACATCAGATTAACATCAAAATGAATCCCACTATATAACATGTCTCAACAAAGAGGTACTAAAATTTCAAGCATCTGCGATGAGTAGTTGCTGAGAAAACTGAGACGAAAATTTGTTATGTATGAAATGGACAGACACACAGACAAACAGGAAGTTGTTTGATTTGAACAAAAATGTATCCCAATGTATGGCATGACTCAGAGAAGATTGTATTAAAATTTCAAGCTTCTGTGATGAGAAGTTGCTGAGAAAATTGCGACGAAAATTTGTTATGTATGAAACGAACAGACAGACAGACAAACAGGAAGTTGACATCCTATTTGAACAAAAATGTATTCCAACATATGGCATGACTCAGAGAAAATTGTATTAAATTTCAAGCATCTGTGATGAGTAGTTGCTGAGAAAACTGCGACGAAAATTTGTTATGTATGAAACGAACAGATGCACAGACAAACAGGAAGTTGACATAAGATTTGAACAAAAATTTATCCCAATGTATGGCATGACTCAGAGAAAATTGTATTAAAATTTCAAGCTTCTGCGATGAGTAGTTGCTGAGAAAACTGCGACGAAAATTTGTTATGTATGAAACGGACAGATGCACAGACAAACAGGAAGTTGACATCAGAATTGAACAAAAATGTATCCCAACATATGGCATGCCTCAGAGAAGATTGTGTTAAAATTTCAAGCTTCTGCGAAGTAGTTGCTGAGAAAACTCCGAAAATTTTTACGGACGGAAAAGACGGACGGACAGACAAACAGCTATATAATGTACCCCCCTCTCCTTAATATATTGAGTATTTTAAAAATACTTCACTTCTCTCACTTCTTCAATAAATGCAAAGTCACCAACTACATAATGTACTAATATATTGAGTGAACATGGTTCTATTACAAATAGTTACAAAGTCTTCTGAAGAAATAGGCCTTTCAAAAAAAAAATTCAATCTGGGTGAATATAAATAAAAAAAAAGATCAAATAAAAAAATAGGGAAGGTACTTGACTGATCCCTCAAGACAATAAAGTGACTAAGATTAAGTAACATCACATGATGCAATCTGCAAAAATCAATGCAAAGCTATGATGACAATATAGTATAATGTTAGCACAGCTAAAACTTGAGTATAAATGTAAATAGATTTGGAGAAGGACTAGTGTTGATTTTTTGATACAGTGCCTGAAAACGGTAAAGTCACCAGTGTAAAAATAAGTACATTTTGGGGTCACTATAAATGTATCAGTACAAAAAAATTAAACTGTGTGAATAAATTTAAAAAAATCACTTATCCTGACCTATCAAAATACCATGTACAATCAAACCAAAATAAGCAATAATTTCAAGTACACCTTATAACACATGCATACCAGAACAATGTACACTTTAATAGCATCATCATGCATAAACTAACAAATTAGCTAAGATAAATAATTAGAGGATATGTACATTTATGGACTGTTTAAGCTAATTCCTGCTTAGCCAGGGCCAGCTCATCACTATCAATGACCACCCTCAGCTTTATCTGGTGAACCGCCAAATCCTCCAGAATATCACTGGTCACCAGAATCGACTCGAACACTCTCAGAAGGCTGCCGTCCTCCAGGTTAACACACACGTCTGTCACCTGCTTAGGAGTCATACAAATATTGCACACAACCAGAGAGTCTTCCATGTCAACATGCAGAACCAGAGTTCCCCTCTTCTGTTCAAAGTACTTAATGATGGACATGTTCATAGCATTGGTCAGAGATTTGTAGAACCTTTTCACATGTTTTTCAAATGTTGGTCCTCTGTGTTTCCACTTCAGACATTGTTCCACAGGTTTCTCCGTCTGGAGAGTGAGGTTAAGATTCTCCCTCTTCCGTTTCTGATCAATGTTTACATGATTTTCTGTGTGGTTTCCTAGATTCTCCTTGTTGGTGGAATCAAATTGTTCAGCCTTTTCAGTGTTATGGTTGAGTGAATTTTTCCTGTTCTGTACATTTTCTACACTTCTATTAAACACATGGCTATCCTTCAGTACATTAATGGCTTCAGTGGAGAGTGTGTACGAAATGAAACTTGTTCTACTACTGGACCTTATAATGGTTGGGCCTTCATGCCGTAAGTTCTTGGGGAGTTCACTCCCTTTGGGAGGTTTCACAGGGGATGGTGACCTAGTGACCTCATTTTTCACTTCATATTTGAGCTTTCTTTTAGTGGGAATAGATTTCTTTTTTGTCTTTGTTCTTCGGCAGAAACACCAACAAGATGGTGTGTCTTCATCACTCTCATCATATGCGTATTCTCTGATCTTCCAGCCCCTCGAGGACCACTCTTCTCCTATCATTGTCATGTTCTCGTAGGACTTGTGGGCCCTCCTGGGGGTGAGGACTGGATTGACCCCCTCCTTTTTCTTCCGGTCCTTTTCTGGGGTATCCCCCATTTTCTCCTCCATGTCGTCTCCTTCCTCCCACACAGGAAACATCCCGAAAATTCTGTCAACCTCCACATTGATCGTGACTTGTCCTAAAATCATTAAAAAAAACTACACAGTTAAAAACTGGAAAGAGCACTTAGAATTTAGGCTTTTTATTTCATACTAATGTATAAATAAGTATGATCTAAATCATGTTGAGATCATTTTGCATAATTACTGCTTAAAATTCAGCTCTATGAGTTTCAAACTTTATGATGTTTTGTACTAAAAGATGTCTTTGCCTTTTGTATTTCTTGGCCAAATTATGATTCTATGACCCTTCTGATCTGACTTTTGGAGAGGGTGACTATTTACATTCAAATCTTGTGCAAAATTATCTGAATTCATTTCAGTCTGAGGTTTAGGCCAGATGATATATACTTAAAATCTATTTTTTATTTTTAAAGAAAAATAGGCCACCAATATCTCAAAAGAGATCATTATTTGAAGACATATTACTGAAGGAGAAATAGGTTTAACTGTAGAGTAAAATATGATTTTGACAGCATTTTTATTAAATAATGTTTAAAAAAGCCCCAAAAAGATTTTTTTCCCAAATTTTTTAATGGACCTTGAATGAGTATGGATGTCACAGATGGTCTAGTATAAAGGTAATCTTGGTTTATAGGGCAATGATTACTTTTATCAGACACAATACGAATGACTAACTGGGGTCATCAATAAGCCAGTATAAATCAAATAGTGGACACACACACCTGTAGCTGATTACACATACAAGAAATGTAATTCACTGTTTGTATGACCTTTGCTATAAGATTGGTACTTTGTATGGCCATTGGTTTAGACTTAATAAAAGCCCCCCATTTTCTTTTTGACTGATGTGTGTTTTCTTACATATCCCTTTTTCTCCATATCAATTTTAAAGGCAAGCAATCAAACAAATGTATAATCAGACGAAAAAATCTTGGCAGTTAACATTCACCTATTCTTAAAAAATGCAGATCCTTCAAATTACATCCCGATCAATCATTTCCTAACTATCTATAATGATCATGTAAACATGACTTTCTATACAGGATGTCACAATAACGAATACATAAACAGGTTTATGGGGATCATTATAACTGTCTGTCCTACACTATAACCTATTAAGATCAGCGTTCTCACTCAGACACACTGAAGAGTGTCACTACAGTTTAAGGTTTCACTACGAAGCTGGCACACAAAATCTTTTCAAGTTCCTTTATATTTACACAATTGATAAATTTCAAAACATCATTGTGATAAGTGAATATGGTTTTATATTACACATATCAGTATTAAGCCAATTTAAGGTGGCTCTACACTTCCTTAATTAACAGCTAACTTCCTTAAGACACCCACCTTTGTATCTGTCCTTGCCAAGGTACCCTGAAATGATATGAAAACACAATCAATACAACGCTTTGCCATGTGTTGATATAGCTTTCGGTATAAAATCTGTCAGTTTCTTTCAATATTACATTAATAAATTAAAAGTAAACATGTTTGATATTGCACATTTTACAAATTCTTAAGAAAACTGGTTTCTTTTCATCCATATTCCAGAGTCCCTTCGTGTATAAATGACAAGAAAATTATTTGAAAGGACCAGGCTTTGACCAAACACTGCTTAAACAAACAAAAACCCTTTACTTGGAAAGAGTGTAAAATTTCTTTCCTATTCAATGGTGTTTTCTACTTTAGGGTTTCAAACTAAAGAATTGGTTTCAAAGTACTGAAATACCATGTTACTCCACAGTCCACAGTAAAACTTTTTCATTTTGTCAAAATTTATATGTATGTTACAGTTCATATTATAAGTATCACAAACTCTTATTTCTTCCATTTGTCAGCCTTTTCCTACCTGAACCATAAATAGGTTTGATTCTAGAGTCTTCATCTAGGGAACTAGCCAAGTGAAGCTGACCAGATTGTCGTAATGCATTAATAAACAAGGCCACAGCGGAACTCCCTGTTCCCTCCACTAACTGTAACAGGGCTGTGTTTCTCTGTACTTTATTCTTGCCATTCTCGATTTTCTCCTTCCCCTCCTTGTCTAACACTCCATGTTGGATCAAGTAGTCGTAGATAGCTTCAGCATCTAGGGATTCTATTAAATCCTCTCTCTCAGTCAGGGATAGTCTTTGCATATTACACTCGGGATGTCTGGGGGATTCTCAGCCTGTGAGCTCACAACTGGCATCCTGTGTTAACCTACAAAAATAAGATTTACCATCAATATCCTTTATAATTCACATATAAATAACAACAAAGATATTTGCAAGTATACTGTTAAGATTTCAAAGTAATTTATGCATGCCTTATAACTACATGTAATACAAAGAATGACATTGTGTCCATGCATAACATCTCTCCAGCTGTAAATACATGTAGTAACTAAAGTAACAAAAATTTGCAAGAATAAAGGACCAGGTATTGGCCCATATAAAATAAATTCCTAAAAACTTTGTTTTACGAAAAGTCATTTACCTTTGTATGTACAGATGGAATACTACATGAATAATTCACATAAAAATACACCTGTATAATATTTCATATTTATTAAGCTAAATGTTCTACGTAAAACTTGTCCTAATTTTCTATAAATAACCAGGAGAGTTTCAAACATTTAAAATTCTTTGTGGTATTACCTAAGTTTTACTTACTAACTACGAGATTAAAGTTACCTGTTCAGATATGTGATCATAAGTCTTTAAATTCAGCAAACACACAAATAAAGATAATGAAAATGTCACAATAATGCCATAATCAAATATACATACAGGTTAGGAATAAGTATGTCCAAACCTGCAGTTAAACACATGGTGCATTTAATCTCATACAAATGTTTACTTTATCACGTGAATGTTATTGTACTTGCAAAGTCATTTAATATGAACTGATAAAGCTTTAATATTGAAAGAAATTAAAGTACAAGTGTCTATTGAACAGCTTCATCGATAAAAGCAGATGCAATTTAGAAAATCACACTTTTTCAAACATCATAAAAATTATCCTTTCAAGATAACAACATTTTATTGCTGTAATATGAGTTCACATATGAAAACATACAGGCCTGAACATAAATGTCAAAAATTTTATCCTGCTTTTATCTAAACCAAACATCCCAGAATCCAGTAGTCAAACAGCAAGGTGTTGCTTTATTTAAAGACAGAAATTCTGTAATACAATCAGCATCTACAGAAACTAAACACTAAAAGAACACAAACCTGACATAATCCAAGAATCTTTAATGATTTTCTTAATGCGCAGATCTATTTGATGCATTTTTTTTTACTATTGTGTTCACTGTGTATGCAAGGTTCCTTGTCACATATTGGTTTGAATATTGACTAAACTAATTTATGTCACAAACTAATTTATGAGGTTAAAAATGTATATACTAAAACAAGAAAAAAGTTACTATGGACCCCCCTGGTAATCGCGAATATGTATGAAATAAAAAAAGACTGAGGCAATGGTCACGAAATAGGTTTTTGACATTTTTTTTTTTTTTTTTGCTTGTCAAGATATTTCTGGGATTGGATTTTTTTCTGACTGGGGTGGACCCCCCCCCTGGAAAAAATTTCTGGATCCGCGCGCCTGTATGTGTTAAAAAAATAACAAGAGATGAACAAGCCATTTTAAAAATAACTATGGTCACTAGCAGCTGTAAAATGTACACAGTATAATACATAGGTACTATTTAGCATATTTATAAATTGTTCAAATAATGCAATTTAATAATGGTGTGGGTTTTTTTCTTTATATTTTGATTTTACCCTCAAGGTATCACTACTACTTCTTGTAAATATAATTCACTACATGACAGGTAACATATGCTTTTTATTAAATGTTCATAAAGATCTCATTACACACAATAAACATGAAAACATTGTGATGACAGAGAGAAGTCTTTACACCTGCCTGAAAACACATGAAAATCTTGTTATGACAACCCAACTCACATACCACAGCAGACAAAGATGCCTGGATCTGAGAGCCGAAGTTTCCCCGCTCTGACAGAAATTCCACACTATACACTCACCGAATCAAATGTGCGATTTCTCCACTGATAAATATTAATATTTGACAGGAACTTATCAACAGATCATTTGCAATCCTCGTTCATCAAACCATAGAGTCAGACCACCGTTCATTTTCAGATACATCATTCAGCTGTCGATGGAGGATGAACAGCCTGCACAATAGGTTGTATGAGGCTGCACATACCTAAACTTTCTAAATTTACTCTGGCCAAAGCACTGGGAACTCAGCTTTGACTTATGATAGCAATTTTTCATGTTAAGGCCCCAGGAGATGAAAGCAGTCACTTCAAATATAATAATTTTTATTTTGCTTCTGTTTATATCACAGAGTACACATGCATCAAAGGATAATACACAATTTATCATAGGTTTTCATTAGAAGTAGCACTGACACAATAGTTCAATCCACAACACTAAATGAGTATTGCAAAATGTGAAGTAATTTCTTCACCATTAATCGGAAATCCAATGAATTCAAATGGTATATATTCACGACACCTAAAAAGCTTCATTCCTTAAAGAAAAAAGATCTACAGCAAGATGGCAATGCAATAAATACGTGTACCTCTTTAATAGGTTCACAATACAGTTCAAAGGAACCCACCTATTTATTACTGCTTTTCTCTCCATGAAAAGACATCTATACGAGATAATATTCTGAGTTAGGATATAAGGTTGCGATTAAGCCATCAATTTAAATCTACCATTATGACAATTTGACAATACCCTTGGCAGCGGAGCAGGAGATTAGGTAGGTGTCAACATCAAATGTACAAATGAGACACACTTTGATGTTTACAAAGCATTTTTATGGGTCAGGAAATAAATTCGTTATCCAGGTCCAGCAAGGGTGTACGGTTATTTAAATACACCCTTCGGCCTTCGGCCTCAGGGTGTAAAGTAAACGTACACCCTTGATTGAACCTGGATAACTAATAATATCAATGTCAGAAATCTGACCAGCAAATTAGATCAAAGGACACATACCCCTGGCTATTAGAGGCCTTTTCTATGCAACACAACCATATATCAAGTGTATTTAATCAAACTGAAAGGGGGTATTCATCTGTATGCAAGATCATGAAAAATAATTCTCAAGTGTTTTTTTAAAATGAGGTTTTACTGTGTAAAAAAAAATTTCCGCGTTCCTTGTCATTCATATGCTGTCAATAAGAAATTAAACACAGATTGTGGCCTATGACTTCCTCCCTTATTTCTGATATGTGTTCCAAATTGTTTTAAACAAAATTCCTGACATTTAACAAATTGTCATGTAAGATAACACACCATAACCATCAGCCTGAGAAACATTTGGTATGCATCACTTACACAGCTACACCGAGATGGGCACCATGACTTCTAACCAAGGCAGAATATTTTCCCTGGAAATACATCTTCCTATTATCTCTTTGTACAAGAATAATAGAACCTGCATCAGATAAAAGTCTGACAGCGGGTGGGAAGGAATATATGGCATGTTTGTAACATGCCCACAGAAATAAAGGCATATCAGTGCAGTATATAGATACTGACTGCAACATTGTCTAATCAATACACAAGTCTGGTGAGATCATAGGCAAATTAAGGTTTACAAACAAAGTTACATGAACATTAGATTTCCCCCTGGCTTCTGTACAGATAAAAACCCCTCCTCTTCCCTATGTAGCTTAACTGAACCATGCACCCTGGAGCCAGGAGCAGATGCTATCTAAAGGCCAATCACTTTACTACCATCTTCCAACAAAATGCTTCAATTTTCCTCAAAATGCCTAAGTTTTAGACAGATATTATGACAGATGGGTTCATGTTTATGCATTCATTTACTATGGTATTTTGAGTGTTTCAAGAAAATAATGTGGTATTTTTCCATCATTAGCTTTTACTTCTAACATGTGTCATCGTTATCAAAGAGAGCTTGTCTTGTAAAGAAGTATTCCAACTGACTTAAATTAATATCTGTTCATTAATTTCACCCCATTGTAACCTCAGAGATAATCTTTTAAAGCTATCTAGCCTAGCTTAAATTAAGTTTATCAAGTCCCATTATCATTAAGAATTACACCCTCCTTAGCTCCTAATCTTGTGTGCCTCCAAAAGAGGATTAATGATTCAAAAAAAAGAGAGATACAGCTTTATCCACAAGACATTAAAATATAATTGACAGTCTCACAGCTGTTACCATTTAATGCATTAATCTACTAAATTTAAAGTCTCTCTTTGCCCACCAAAATTGAAGCTAACCTAAGCTATACAATTCTAATAGGACCCTACTGAGGCTACTGCATATCTTTGGTTTGACCACTAAAAAAGAAACTCACCAGATAGAACTTGCACGACTCTTCAGTGGCTGTGTTCTATGGAAAATGTTTGCATGTCAATTCCCGGGCTTTCTGCCACTAAATGCAGAATTCAGAGCCATTAAGAAGACATGTAACAAAATCAATACCTGGTCGTATCTCAAGAATGCTGTGCCTGACATTCACGTAAACAAATGTGATTTCAAACACCAAATATTATCTCCATCTATACCATACCACACCGAAAACCAATTCCTTGAAATATTGATAAGGCATTACATAACACAATACTAAAAACTTTAACAGATCTTGATTTCTTCTTAGCATCTGCAGCCTGAAGAAATATTTGCCATCATTAATATTTACAAAAATGATGCAGTGAGTTTCAAAATTCCATGTTGAAATGATAAATCATCCTTTTTTCCAACCAAAAATTTGTTTTCAAGCATGTTGCACTTTATAAAAATGAGCAATTAATGGAAATAAACATTTTCTGAATCACTTAAGAGTAAGTTTTTGCAGTGAACAACTATGATCATTTTTACCTTTTTTTTGTAAAGTAAGCACTACTGTCTTCAATACAACATCTTAGTAGTATCACTAGTATGCCTTTCATATTGAAACCCCTTGTATCCCAGTTTGAACTGAATTCGACCCCCGCCTTTCCCCTTAAAAAAAGTCATAATGCTGAACATGTATAAGTAAAATGAAACACATTTTATCTGTTTTCTTTCATTGTGTTGGCATGTGCTTGTTTAACATTGTTTTTTTTCCTCTTGCTACAGTGGTACACTTGATTTATGATCTGCAAATTGCAAATTCACAAAACTTTTGTTTCTCATTACAAGGTAAATATTTTGATTTTGCACAATAGATGACAAATAATTTATAAATAATTATGCTATATGCATGAAGTAGCTTGCATTGTCATCTACATTTCATTTTGTTTGCTAAATATTTCAAAAGAATTTTATTATCGGTACCATAAGTTTTAATGTAAAAATCCTAACACATGTATTCATGGGTGAAGATGAGCAAAATTAGGAACACTGAAAATAGAAAACTGGCACCCACACTGAGATTTGCAACTTTTTTCTTTTTCCCTGGGTTCAAGAAACTGTCTTTGATTTTTTTGTCCCCCGCTTGAAAAGTGGGGGATATTAATTTGGGTCTGTCCGTCCGTCTGTCCGTCCGTCTTTCTGTCTGTCTGTAACGCTTTCGTTTCCACACGATATCTCAAGAACCCTTTGAGCTTTTGCAATGAAATTTAGCATAGCAACTCCCTTTGGCCTAAGGAAGACCCCTATTGATTTTGAGGTCAAAAGGTCAAAGGTCAAGGTCATAAATAAGCAAATTCTGTCTGTTAAAACACTTTCGTTTCCACACGATATCTCTAGAACCATTTGAGCTATTGCAATGAAATTTAACATAACAACTCCCTGTGGCCTAAGGAAGACCCCTATTGATTTTGAGGTCAAAAGGTCAAAGTTCAAGGTCGTAAATTTATACATTCTGTCTGTGTGTAACACTATCATTTCCGGGCGATATTTCAAGAAGATTTTGAGCTTATGCAATGTAATTTTATACCAAAAATCCCTAGGATCTCTTTCACCCCTCTCAAAGTGCCCCGCTCCGTTTGTTTTACTAGTATTTATCGTATTACCTGTTGCTATTTTTAGCACAGGGGCATGCGGAGAGTTATTGCGTATAAAACAGGTTCTCAGCGGACTTTATGTTCTTATTACATCTATTAGAACTGTTTAATAAAGGCTAAATAAATCAAACACCATGAATTGTGTAAAATTTTGATTATACCAAACATGAATATATACATGTATGTGACTTCACTTCTGCATATATTTGTCTTCATTTAAAGCGATTCCGTGGTTCAGAGGTATGTCTCCCGCTTCACATGTTAGAGGTCCCGGGATCGGTTCTCGGACGGATCCTTCTTCTTTTTTTTTTTTTTAACTTTTCTTTTTTTTTTAAATGATAGTATTCAGCATGTGAAAAGAATAATTTATGAGGTTATAAAATCATCATTACAGTGTGATAAATATTCAATATAAAAAGAATCTTCTATGTATACACATAATAAAGAATAAGCAATCAAATCTTTATACGCATATTGACATACATGTATTTTATTTGCGTCAGTATACATGTATACATTTAATAATTCTACTAATTCAGTCAGGGGGATCCGACTTTTTCCCTAAGCGGGGGACACGAATTCTCTGAATTAGCTTGTTTTGTTTTTTTTTAACTGCTTTTGACTTTTTATCATTTTTTCTAAGAAGAAGAATGTTCCTCATGTAAAGTAGAGGAAATTTGTGGTCAGTTTAATATAGATAAGAAATAATTTACATAGCACCATTAACCTTAGGGAACTCAATGCAGAAACTACCTGTATGGAAACCCACCTTTTCTAACAATAACCTGCTTATATGAATAAGCTCACAAGCACACTTTATTGACCTTAACATCCCCGAAAAATATCATTAGTGCCTGTATGCAATGGTCAGATGGTGATTCCAATAAGGAGTTTTTAAACACATTTTTTTTTACATTTCACTTTGATTTGAAGATACTTCATGCATATGGTCTGTACAGTATGTTAACAAAATTGAGAGAATTATTCCAACTTTACATCACTGACAATATTGTAATTCAGCTCAAAATCTAGGGAATTCCTACTGAAGTCTCCTTTCTGAATCAGAGCCTAAGCCCACTATCTCTTAACAAATATAATTTTACAAATACATAATGGAAATACTGCATCAAACAGACAGAAGTTGATTGAAATGAAATATCAAATCTCTTTCCAATTTGTTAGGCAGATTGTGTACATAAGTTAATCATTTATTGTTAAGAAAGAGCTCCTGAAATGACACAAATTATTCAACATATTGACAGGGCAGCTATGCATTATAAGAAACAACTCTGTCTCGAATTATTACCTTATTCAATTATCTAAAATTAATAAAACTGTTTATGACAAATGTCAATAAATTTTCAAAATTCAAATGCCTCTCTTGTTGAAAAGAGAAGGGGTTGATTTTTTTAATAAAATAAAATAGAATGTCTATATTCTGCTAAAGTCGGATGGTTAAAAAATGTATACGAATGCTGACTCAGAATATGAAAACAAATCACATATATGCACTGACTCGATACTTACACAGTACACTGGCAAAAACTGAAATCCACATCATGGCACATTATCATCATCATTGCCTGAGTCAGTGGTGCATTTTGATCGATAAATGCGTATCTCTGACAAATAATGCATCTCGTGAAATTTGCATATTATAAATAAATTTACATTTTCTGCGTTTAATTTGTTCTTACCTTTCTATTTTAAACATCTATAGATTCTAAGCATTACGATGAGATGTAGGGCCTATGGTTAACGGTATGTTGACATGTATTTTCGTTCTCATGGCCAATTTTGTTTCAAGGAATATGATTGGTTGATACTCTTATCTGATCTTGTTAAGTTGTTCATAAAATTGCTCGTCTTATAATGACATTTTTTAAATAAAAAAAAAGATTGAGTAACATTTTCATGCCTTACAAATTCTCAATTATTTAAGTTTGCCAATGATTTTAAAAAAAAACCCACACATTTACTTACTTTAAAATAACAGGCAAAATTGATTAAGAAAATGTTTTTCACCACTATATGTTTTTGCAAGATTTCAAGCTCAACTTGGTCCACATACTGACAGAAAAATTTTATTTCTTTGAAATGATAAAAAAGCAATAATCATAAATCAGACAAAGGCAGTTGAATCTACAATTACACCAAGTGTCTGATGATAGAGACTACCGGTAGCTCCACTGGCATGTGCTCATTATGAAAAAAAAAAGTAGACAGGTGGACAGATAAATATATTGAACCTTGTTATTCATCTAATGAACAGCAAATATTGTTGTTAAATTATTTTCATTTTAATATTTTGGATATTTATTGTCTTTATCAGTAAGTATGAAATTAATCTCTCATAATAATTGTCATAGATTATTTTATCCAGTATTGCTCTTCATCCTTCTAAGCTAAGCATTCAGTTTAGATACTATAGAGTGACCATAAGAAAATACATCAAATATACATTCAAAAATTAAATATCCATTTCATGGACATGTACATCACTGTAAAGTAAATTTTGAATACATTAATATACATTAACCAGTATGGCACACTGCAGTATCTGTCATTTTGTCCCCAACTCACAATTGATCAGTTTCTGTCAGGGCCTTTTGATCATTAGTGAAAGAAGAGTCTAAATATGTAATTAATTTGAAATCCTCTGTAGAATGTAAATATGTTTACTTGCTTAAAATAAGACAAATAAATATTCTTAAGAAGCCTACTTGCAAATAATTCCCTTCTTAAATTATTGAAAACTGCAACATTTTCAAAGAAAAGAATAACAATTTCATGATATAAAAATGCATTTATTGGCATATAACATCAATAATTAAAGAATAATTCATGGGAATTCTTTTTGTCTCATACAGAATCTCAGTCTTAACAAACTGTGTTAGGAATGACTTTGCTGAAATTACCGATACATGCACCAAAAATCTGTTATAAAACATGTCAACACTATTCATTATACCTTGTCAGATACACATTCTCATTTTATTAAGACATCTAGTATAGCACTGAAAGAAAGAGCTGCTGGCACCATTCTCCATTTCTGTTGATCCTGCCAACAGCTTCTGGTCTCGAGAAGTTAAATATCACATTTATACATAAACTTGCGTCCTCATTTGGGAGATTTGTACATATGCATCCTATGAAAAAGATGCCTAAATGAATATCATGATTTCTCACTGTTAAAAGATGATCAAAGTTTTTCACTATCAATGACTTCTATTATTGTGCTGCATTCCTCTTTGATAAAGCTGCTGCCAGGTCAGTTTGGAGAGCTTGTTGTTTTTTCATATCTCCTAAGGGTACAAATGAGCGTAGGCCATGCACAATGTCACGTGTTTTTCCAAAGTAAATCTCATTCAATGTGTTTCTAATTTTGTTTTCCATGTCCTGTAATAAAATAAAAACAATGAAATGCACAAAAGCAACAATTTAATCTCTTTTATACCTAATCAAATAATGGGCTGAGAAATCTCATCATTACTACATTAAGGAAGTATTATTACTTCGTTTAAGTCATAGTTCTTTTCTTTCTTTAACATCTGCAGACAAATTTATTTTTTTAGGTTTGAAAATTATAGGAAAAAACAGCCAGTTGTATAAAATTTGCTATTCGGTTCTCGCATGAAAAAAAATCTACATAGTAAATATGGATATAAAATGATTGTTTTATA